TAATTTCATAATTTTTCTCCCCATATAACTCTTTAAATTGTCGTTTCTGTAAAAATAGACAGTCTACCAATATTAATTTAGTTTTAAATTTAATTAAAACTACCTCCTCATCATTTAGGGTTGGAAATAATTTTATAAATCTCCATAATTCCTAAATGAATTTCTCTTAATTTTTCATAATTTTCTGAGATCTCTAGGTATTTTTAATAATTGATATTGGCCAATAAAAGGCACATATATGGCGCCACCTTAGAGGAGTAGAGGGAAAAAAATAGTCAACACTATTGACCAATTAGTTAATCTTATTGAGTCACATAGTAGAAATTTTGCTTTACCGGGTAGATAGGGAACTGTCTAACACTTACCCGTATTGCATTCTAATTTTTCTACTGCCCATAAAATATCTTCTGGTGACTCATATGATGATTCATCACTCTCATAAATGAAGCACATGGGAAAGAAGAAGAGAATTCAAGTTGAACTTGTCTTCCTCAAAATATTTGAGATATTTTCTAACTTTGTCTCCTAATTAAGGGACATTAATTATTTAACATTTAACTTGAGCATTTTATCCAATCCTGAAACTCCAAAAATTCATCTATTTATACCATAAAATTCATTTAATTCTGTAGAAAATCTATGAATTTTCTCAGATCATAACTCAGACCATAAGTATTTCTTTTTAAATTTCCCATAACAAACCCATAAACTGCAGTTCTGGACTAAAAAATATATTAAAGCCATTCTGCTGGCCTTCTAGGATTGAGGCTAATTTTATAAATTCTATAGCCTCTTAGATCATACATCCCCATTTTACCATAATTTTCTGAGGTTTCTTTATGTCTCAAACAATTAAATCTACCTCTACATCTCAAACTGAGCCATAAACTTATAAATTCCTTTTAAGTCAACTTAAGAACATTTTCATCATTTCTCCTCATATACAAGCCTTAACATGTCATTTTCTATTTTTTGGAATTTTCTAGAATTTTTTTGTGTATTACTTCCATTTTTACCTATTCCTGGCCTGAAACTTTCCAAAATTATGGTTTTACCCGTGGTCAAGTAAACCTCATAAATCACCCTATTATGGCCTCTATCATAACCTTTGGTTTGAACTAACCTCTTTTCTCATTTCTAGGCCTTGAGACTTCACTGGAGCCTCTAACTTTCTTTACATTTTAGTCCCTAGAACTTTCTCTATTTACAGTTTAGTCCCTGAAACCCTTCAGCATTCCTTTTACATTTCTGGGACTCCTGTCATAAGGATTTAGTAGCCTACCTATCTTAGGCTAATATGTGTATTCTTGGACCCAAAACTTAGGGTGTGACAAGCCTTACCTGTTCTACCACTAGTTCTAGGGTTGGTTGGACTGATTAGGCTATCTTGATTATTCCTTGCTTGGGTTGTTGTAATTGTGCTATGTCTGCTGTTACTGTTGCTGCTATCATAGCATCCCTTTCTTGCTCTTGACGAGCTTTGGTTACTGATTTGACTGTGTCGTTACACCTTGGGGTCAAATGCAGGAAATTTATAACCGGATCCAAGAGATGCAGTATAGCAGTGCAATCCAGGTCATGTTCACTTTTGGGAGCCTTTATTGATAACCTAAGCTAGACTAAATTCCATATAATGCAATGAAATAGGATTTTGGATTTTAGATTAAATTGAAATGTAACTAAACTATATGTAATGGAAATAAACCTAAGCTACTATATTTTTGGTATTTTTGATAAGATGATAATGGAATAGAAATGAATGATACAAAATCTCTTGAAAATGGTTTTGATGGCAATCATAGTTAACTTAAGATATTAGGAGTTTCACAAATCTATTAGGCTTTCTTAATAACAACCTCAACAACTCATTGATTCCAATGTTTAAATCAATGAACTTCATCAATGAAAACATTGTTAAGCTCCCTAATGTGTAATTTGAGAATGATCATGCAATTGGTTCATTGCAACCCAAAATCAACTCAATATCAATATATGACCATGCGAGATAAGAGAGAATCTAGAGAGTTACAAGGAAACGTATATGTGACTACATATATTGAAGCATAGAATTCAACATTAACCAATCCAAACTACAAATGTGAATCATTAACTAATGATTACAGTAACAATCCCAAGTTCCTAACTAAGAATTTACAACTCCTAGACCTAGAAAGCCATAAATCATAGCTAAAAATTGAAAACTAAAACTAAACTCCCCTTTGAAGTTTGGAAACTCATGCCACTCCACTATCTTCAAGAGTTGATAAACCCTAGCCCTCTATAGCTTCAAGAAAAGCTCCAATTGAAGTGAATCTATCAGCCATGGCAGCTGGGAGTGGAAGGAAGTGAGATGGAGTGAAGGAAAGGTGAAGCATATGGATGAAGAAGAAGATGGAGGTAGAGAGACAAGAAGATGAGAGAATAGAGGTGTTGGAGATGATAGAATGGAGTTATTGGTCAGAAATAGGGTTTCTAAGGGTTTTAGGGGTCAATCTAGGTCGGATCATATGAGTAGAGGGTCTATTTTTGCGTTCTGGATCTGAATCTGACATTACTAATAGAGAGAGTTTATCGCGACGAACTCAAAAGTTGGCCACGGCAAACTATTCCTGAAAGGAATTTTAGTGAGATTTTGAGAGTTTGCCACGATGAACTATTCTAGAATAGTCACTGATGCACATTTTCAGACTTTTTACTAATAGTAGCAGTCTCACCCAAGAGGGGGGTGAATTGGGTGAGTTATAAAAATCTTGCATATTAAAACAGTAAGCTAAACAGAAACATAGAGCATAAGTTAGAGTGATTTCAACGTAGAGAGTAGACACAGAATTTATACTGGTTTGATCTCAATCACTTGACCTACATCCAGTCCTCAAAACACCTTTGAGTATTTCACTAAGTTCCAAGATTAATAGGGCTCTTGGTGCCGCAGTACAACAATTGATTCGCTCAATCACTCCCCCTTACTATCCGTAAGGTTACAATCCCACTCAAGAGTCCACACTCTTGAGTTTCACTCAAAAAGTAATTGAAGATGATAGATAGAGCTCTCTCGCAGAGTAAATAAATGAGAAACATTGAAGCTCATTATAAGCAAGAACAGAGTATTGAATGCAACAGTAAATTATTAACATAAGGTAGCTTGCGTCAGTTCTTGCATTCAATGCTTCTTCGCGCCTTTTATAGTTGCAGAGGTTTAATAACCGTTAGACGGAAGAGCTTCTAGCCGTTGAAAGTTCAGTTGTGTGTCTTCCTAGTTGCAACGGTTTTTGCCATTAATGGTTTTGATGGTTCTGACATGGTAGGTTATTTGCTTCTAAATAACCGTTGGATAACCGTTGAACTTTCTTCGTAATATGTAAAAATACGTTAATCAAATAAGTTTTTCTTGCAGAGTAAGGCTCAGGAACATAACTGAACAAATGATAATAATGAATATTGATTCATTGAAAATGGAATCAATCAGTTGCTGAAAGTATTGAACAAGAAATGGACATCCTTAATCGAAGTCATGATCGATGACTGATTGATCGATCAAGTTATCGATTATTCAAAGTTAGAGCTTTTGAAACAGGTAACTATATTTTTTGATCAAGTGACGGATTAACCATTGATCGATCAAGTGATCAAAAAGTGAAAAGGATGACTTCAGAGAAACATGTAAAGAACAGTCTCAAGCTAACTTTCTATTTTGAATTTCTTAAAATAGAGAATTAAGATAATCAAGAAGGCTAAGAAAAGCTTGAAAAGAAATAATCAACATATTTTGAGAATCACTGTAACTGGTTGATGTTTAACTGAAATGAGTCAAATGATCAATCAAGTGATCGAAAAATATTTAATCAATCATGTTATCGATAAAGCTGAGTGAGGTAGATAGAGATTTTCAAGGAGTAATGATCGAGTACTTTATCAATAAATAGGTGATGGATAAACTGATCGATAAAAGATCAAGAAAAGTATCCTAAGTGAAAACACAGACTGTATAATTTTTTGAATAGATGATTGATTAAGGATTGATCGATCAGATGATCGATAAAATAATGTCTGAAAGATTTATTTCACAAAACCATGAAAGAATATGATCGATCATGTTATGTAAAATTTTTTCAAAAGATTGGATGATCAATCATTTCATCGATAATTAGATTATCGATCAAGTGATCAAAAAGGATAACTTAACACAGCAACACAACAAGATAATGATGATCAATTATTTGATTGATAAACTATTGATCAATCAAGTGATCGATAAAAAGTTTTGTCATCATACTTAAGCAAAACGATAAATAGGTAAGTTATGAAGCAATGACAAAACAAGTTATCAAAAAAATCTTTGATCGATAATGTGATCGATAAGTGGTGATTAAGACAAAATACGAAGTGAGTAGAGAGCTCTACCATTTATCTGTCTTTTCATCAATAACTTATTTATCGATCATGTGATCGATAAATACTTACCAGACTTGTGTCCCAATATCTAACAGTTATTCGATCATTAGATTATCAATCAATTGATCGATAATTTTCTGTAGGCTTCTATACACAACTGTGTTAATAATGATCGATCAATTGATCGATCAACACATTATCTATCAAGTTATCGATTAATATTTCTGCTAAGTTACTTGTTTGCACAGGAATGTTATCTATTAAGTGATCGATAACCCATTGATCAATCAGGTATCGATCAACTTACTAAAACACATATTCCTTAATTTGTTATCATCAAAACCTTAAATATAACATTTTTCCCTTTTTTGATGATGACAAAACATAGGTGAAGAGTTAATCAAATATCAATAGATAACAATGTAAACTAAACCATTGAAACAGCAAAAACTCACGATAGACCAAGGTAAGGCAAAAAGGCTTAACTGATCATATTTAAATATTAGAATTCATAAAAGAAATATCATAATTTAGATTACATAACAGAGAAGAAAAACATAAAATTACATAACAGAGAAAAACATAAACACAGTAAAACAAGAACTAACCTAAACAGATTCCTTCTCTCCCTTTTTGTCAGCATTAGAAGATCGGGAAGGAATCGAGACAGTAGGCATAGTAAGGGGAATAGGAAGAGGGAAAAGCTGAGAAAGTAGAGAGATGGGTGGAAAATACAGAGAAGGAATAGGTTGAGGAACTGTAATAAGAGCTAAGGTAGGAGGAGGAGTGGGAGAGGTAGAAGGTGCAGATGGTGAAGTAGAAACAATAGAAGTGGGTATAGGTAAGGTAGGTGGTGCAAACTCATGGTGAGAAGGAGATGGTGGATGGGAGAGCAGGTCTTCAAAACCGAAGGAAGTGGTGGGCGCAGGGCTACCATCCTTTTTAGATCTCTGTTTTTCTTTCAACATATCAAACCTCTGAGAGACTTCCTTTTCCAAAACTACCATGGCTTGGCGATGAAGATCTAAAATTTTGGTAATGCCATCAAATTTCTTGTCTAAGATTTCCCCATAGTCTTTGGCTGTGGTATAAACTCTTCTCTCAAATTCTTGGAGTTCTGCTTGGAACATCTCCTTGATCTATGTTTCCAGAAATGATAGTCCAGAGGTATGAGAGGGAGCTGCAGTGGATTCTGCCTCATCCTGGGGTCTAGAGGTGCTAGCAGCTGGTTGCTTCCCTTTATCTTTCTGAGTTTTCTTCTGTGAGGGTCTGAAAGGCACAAGGATTCTCATCTTGTTGAGTTGGTTGATGCCAAAGGCAAGAACCTTTACCTTAAGTTCTCCTAGCTCAAAAGGTGCGATGTTATTCATTTGAAGGATATAAGTGGCCAATTGAGGATAAGGAATTGGTGTACATTTGGATTTGTTAAGGACAAAATCCTTCATTTCATTAAATATTAGATCCCCTATGTTGATCTTTTCTCCACTGATTATCCTGGCCAGTAGTAAGTAATCATCTTGGGTCAGATGTGAAAAACTCCCAGACTTACTGATCATACTCCTCGAATAGATATAGTGGATTATTTTATAATAATCACACATTTGTTTTGGTGGAAAATTTAGTTTCTCAGGGTAGTCATCACTCTGTATCAGGATTTTATAGGCTTTAATGTCATTCATATCACCTCCTCTCACAGATTCTTAGGTTCCTAGCAGTTCATTCAGCTTGGCACTAGAGAGATGGAAGGTTCTGCCTCTTAGTTTAACTCTTAGATAATCTTGATCATCATAGTCTTCCACGAATTCCATATTACAATAGAATCTTTTAATCACTTCTAGGTAGTATTCTCCTCTAATGATCAACCAATTTGAATAATACTCCAATAGGTCACTCAAATCCAAATTAATTTTCTCATTTTTCTTCAGGCCTTGAATATCAAACGCAACCACAAGACAGAACTTACGATTTGTATAGTCTGCCTTAAACTTAGCCAAGTTCACATCATTATCTAGATTCCCAATCAGTAACTCAGAAAAATCAGATGGAGTACCTTTGGTAGGAATTTGGCATGACACACCTTTGCTTGCTTTCTGTTCCCTCTGTCTTGGTTGCTGAGGGACAGGAACTCATAATGCAACCTCTACAGCTTTTTGAACTGAAGTTTCATCATCAGTTTCTCTTTCAGATTCCTTGGTAACCATTGGTAGCTTAGATTTCAACTTTGATCGTGGAGATTTTCTTGAGGAGTGGATTGCTCTTCGGTCTGACTTTCATGAATATTTAATACTCCTCTTTTCTTCGATAGTGCTTCCCTTACTTTCGGTCTGTATCTTTTCTTTGTAGTTGAGGGAGTAGTATCTCTCGACTGTGTTTGTTTCTCAGTGCTTTCCTCTTAGTCAACATTCAATTGCTTAACTCTTGCCATTTCTCATTGTCCAGAAGAAATCTTGAAGAATGTTCGGTGAGAAGAGTGTTTGAAGGGTACAGTGGAGAATGAAGATACTTTAAGAGTGATTTCGAGTGGAAAGGGAATAGCAATTTAATAGAATAGTGATTTTTAGACCGTTACGTTGGAACAGGGGAACGGTTTTATTGAATTAGGGCTTCGATAACTAACAAGGGTTTTCAAAAAATAAATTTTATAAACACAAAAATTATCAATCAAGTTATCGATCAATGAGTTATCGATCACGTGTGCGATAAATATGGAGAACACACAAGAATACTAAAGACAATCATTGATCAAGTTATCGAGCAATGAATTATTGATCATGTTATCAATAAATATTAATAAAGGAAATGTGTACCTGGTCTAATTTATCGATCATTTGATTGATTAACAGTTTATTGATTATGTTATCAATAATTTTTACCAAATTGAGTGATTTGTCTCAAATCCTCGTTGCTCCTGATCGATGTGTTGATCGATAATTGACTTACTGATCAGCTTATCGATAATTCTTCTTCCAACTTTGTTCTTTTGCTTCACATACTTCATTTATCGATCAGTTGATCGATAAATTAACCCTTCCTGGTAGCATGATTATCGATGTCTTCAATCGATCATTCTATACTATGTTTACCTCTATTTTTCTTTGACAAAACAGAGCTTGCTGTAAAACAAATTTCTATACACTCCAATGCTTAAGTTAGTTTTTCAATCATCAAAACATTAGATCTAAAGATTCAAATTCGAGAGATAATATGAGATTTATTACAGCTCATTAGGATTTACCATTCCCAATTCTCTTCTGAAGTAGTTGAACTTCTATTGATCAAGAGGCTTCGTGAAAATGTCTGTTATTTGATACTCACCGGGGATGAATTCTAGTTTTACATCTTTCTTTTGTACATGATCTTGAATGAAATGATGTCGAACGTCAATGTGCTTAGTTTGGGCATGATGGACTGGATTCTTGGACAGACTTATTGTACTCGTGTTGTGTAACACCTTACATTTGTGACCTTATATTATGCCAAGTTAAGATATTCAGAAGCGCAATCTCAGGTCACCGGATTGAAAAATCTGAGTTTAAAAATTTCTTTTCCCGCATTACTATTCATTGTAACCTTAAACTTGGCATATCTTTGGAAAATCATAACTAATTCTAGAAAAATCGAAACAAGGTTGTTCCAAATCTCACTCGAAGCTCTTAACATCATCTATCAAGGAAAAATGACCTCAGGTTCCACTTTAATCAGAAATGCATCCGATTTTAATTTCAAAAAGTACTGTTCATTTGGTCATTTTTTTATTTTCCAGGATTTTTGCCTAACTTCGGAAAGGCATAACTTCTTGTACAGAGCTCTGATTGTGACGCTTTACCACTCATTTTAAAGGGAAAAATAAGATCTATTTGCATGCCAAATTTCAGGGAAAAATTCAACCATTTGACCAGGGTCTTCATTGGTCAAAGTTTGGTCAAATCTAGACCATTTTTATCCCCCTTTCTCACTAATTCTAGCACCATTTCGTTTTTCACTATAAGCATACCATAATCACATATAAAGGTACTCTACCATTAATATACATCCAAAAAGGGTATCATGTTATGTGTTCATGTTGGAAATTGTGCCCTAGGGGCCAATCATTATGTTTTGAACATTGTTAATTTATGAATTTATTAATTACATTATCATATTATTTGCATGTTTACTGTGATGACTATCCTTGGATAACTCATGGTTTATCCTAAATGTCCCTGGTCGGTCATCTATGTGGGAGCAAAGATGAAATAAGACCAGTATGACTTTAAAGATATATAGAGATATAAATTAAAGTCATAGGCACATGTAAGAGTACAAGGTGTTGGACCGACCCGCTATGAGAGAGCTGCATGGGTTAAGTCATAAGCTTCTCTCATATACAAACCATGTCACTGTGCCCTTTGACCTGAGATCATCATGGATTCCTACATGAGAAACGCTTAGGTTTGACCTAGTCAAAAGTCACTTTTGACCGAGTGATCATAAAGACTATGTTCAGGCTTAGTGGTTTTTTCATGCAGAGGAATGTGAATGGTCAAGATGGAATTTGTCCCTCACATTCATAGAGAGACATTACTGGGCCCCTCGATGAGTGAGTCTGAGAAATGTATGGCCATACTATTATGGAAAGGTAGTTCCGTTTCTATACTCAGACTACTCAGGGATCGAGAAAGTAACGGTCATGAATAGGAGGATGACGTTCTCCATGCCTCATCCATGACCAAAATGTCGTGTGACAAAAGGGACGCGATATGGTTGTATGAAAGGTTACATCGTTCAACGATCCTCATATGATTTGGGTAGTCGTGATGTCTTGCTAGAGATTGCTTACGACTTGTGAGTCATTATAGTTAATGGCCCACTGCCAACTTCATATAGGCCTACAGGGTTGCACACAAAATAGCCCAACACGAGTTATGATGTCCAGATTCATTGAATCTAAGATATGTCCAGATTCAATGAATAATATAGGGTGGACGTGTATATATATATAAATTCGTATATATATATTATATAAATATAAGAGATATTAATTGTTAGATTTAATTTATAAGGATAAATTAAATATATATAAATTAATTCCCTCATCTCTTTATTAAATAAATAGGTGAATTAAATCTGTGAGACGGATTTAATTTAAACCATATTTATTTAATTGTTCTCTTATCTGATTAGGCAATATTTGATATTGTATTAATTTCGGAAGTAATTTAGAGTTAATTTCGAAATTAAATATTATTCATTAAACCTATAGAATCCTATATATTTGATATGAGGAGCTAGGGTTTTAAGGGTGAGAGGACCAACAGATAAGAGACGGTCTAAGAGAGACAAGAGTGGACGGATTCTCTGAAAACCCTAGACGGACAAAAGGGCGCTAGCAAGCCGTCTGTAACTGGAGAGCTATTCGTGTGGATACCGGTAGAGGAAGCCGACTGGAGTTGTCGACTTCGAACGATAAAGGAGGCGAGCAGAGGCATCCTGAACGGCGGAATCACCGAGCCACTCGGAAACCGAACACCGAAGGTAATACTTCTTACTACCTGACTTAAACGCGATCGGTAGATCCGGGCAAGGGATTGAAAGTTTTAAAATTTTGTGTTGCTTTCCGCTGCGCGTCGTCTTTCAATTCCCTTCAGTTCATGATCAAAATATGCTTACATGGCTTGGAAAAGAAAGGTTTAAAACCATATAATACAATACATAACTCATAACTTCCTCAAGCCATGATTACTTCTTTCCCCTTCTCCTTGGAAGTAGTGGCACCTAGGATATCATGTTATAGGAGGAATGAGATTTCATAGAAATCCCAGTAGCATTGAACATACAACCATCAGGTCAACATGCATAAGATGTCATGCTACATGCAGTAAAATAACATTGCTAGTCTTTATGCCATGCCATAACCATTCTGTATCCATGTCATTATATCATGGAGCATATAATCATTCTAATCAAAACTCAATCATGCAAGAGCCAAGGCATACATTGCAAGGAGTTCACATCATCTGGGCATAAACATTCTCATGGCACATAAACACACATGGCAGAAACACCAAATGCAGGTCAACAAAATAATTGCAAGTTCATGCTACCTCAGTTCCACGCTTAATGTTTCCTCCCTGTTTTCCTTGCTTGAGGT